CTGCAATTGTCCTCCTTTCCTATTAGATTCCAACCTTTGGATTCACTTTATATCTCAAACATTTGTGGGCTTTCACCCAGTGACTAGCCTCTGCCCTGTTTTCTTCTCATCTTGAAGACTTAGTGCTGGAGAGATTCTAACACATCTAAACATCACAAAACTTTTGTCCTCTTGTGCAACTACATTTAGTGAAACTTTTTGAGCATGTTCTGCCATTTCCCACTTCTGTGCTCCTACTATATTTTATTGCTTGGATGGTTGTATTCCATTTCATTCCTCCCCACTGATAGCAAGCTCCCATTGAGAATACTGTCTTCATGAAGCACTGTATGGGTGAAGAACATGTATCACCACTGAATCTTTGCTAATAAGTGAATTGAATATCAAGGACACAATTTTGTATTTGTCCCTAATCATTTAACATTATATCCTATTGGTTTTATGTGCTGTTTGTTATTCCATCAAGCACACATTTGATTTTATTCTGTTTTTCCCTTGTAAATGGCTAATTACATTTTGTCTTAGATGAAAACTATAGCTTAAATTTCATAATTTGACATACTTAGAAAGTATTTCCCAGAAATACTTTAAAGTGTACAAAGTATTTCCTCATTAAAAAGAAACATAATCATGAAGTGCTTGTCCTGTAGCATTCTGAAAATTCCAGCTTCGATAAGGTACCAGTGAGTTTTTCATGGGACCAGGGAAGTTTGAAAAGATGACACATAAGATGCAAGATAGAATAGTCCTTTACATTAGGTTTCCAAAATTCAATAACTTAAAAAAGAAAACTTTTCCATAAGGAGAAAACCTCTACAGATAGTATGTAAGCAACACATCTATAGATAGATACATAAGCAATGAAAGTCTTTATATATTTTTACCAGTAATAGTCTATTTATTAACAGTTACATGATAAATTTAGCCTCTGGTCATAGTTTGCCAGGATCTAGTCTTGAGAATTAAATTAAATGTATATAATTTAATGTCTGGCACATAGAAAACATCTAATAAAATGATAGCTATCATTGAGATATTGGTGATTCCATGGTTGTCACTTGTCTAGTGAACCTGGCTAGCCACCGTCATCCCAAAGGTATTTGAATTCTCACATCTGCAATCAGATCCAATGGTTCTTCTACTAGCAGTCTTGAAGAACATGTTGTGTTCCAAGAAAAGTTTGGTGCGTGCCCTCTGTTTATGTGCATTCCATTATCACTCAAGAATTTGTGGACTTCGTTGCAAGTTCCATCCTTTTCAATTGGACACATTAGTTTAAAGGGCATAATTACTTCTAATTGAATTCTCAGTCAATACTCTGCAGTGCCATTAAGGACATAATCAATACTCACTCCGTGGAGTACTTCTAGCTCAATATCCTTACTGGTCCAGACCTGATCAGCTGAGATCTGAGTATATATTAAATGACACCCAACAAATGAGTTCTGAGACTTTGACCTCCAGGAGTGATTTCTGCTGTGTTTTCACCTATGTCGATAGAAAACTGTTGGCCACATGCACCAGGAGTGGCAATACTCAGAAAGCTGAAGGATCAGAATAGTTGATGCCCACATCATTGTCTTTATGGCTCCAGAGGAAGAGAATGGCTTGAGCAGAAGAGAAAAAAAATCACACGTTTACATTCATATCAGAAGACTTAAGAAGACATATGGTTTATCTGGGTGAAATTCTAAAGCTCTTTCTGAAGCACCAAGATATTTACTCTTACTACTGTTAAAAATATCTCATACCAAAGGGCTCTGGCTCTATCAGTTCCACTACTCATGGGCGAGCCAGCTACACTCCATACAGGAGATAAATAATGCAGAACATCATCCCTCCTCCTCCCCTCCTCCTCCTCTTCCTTCCTTTCCTTCTCCTCCTCCTCCTACTTTTCCTCCTATTTCTCCTCCTCTTATTCCTCTTACTCTTTCTCCTTCCTTCCTTCCTTCCTTCCTTCCTTCCTTCCTTCCTTCCTTCCTTCCTTCCTTCCTTCCTTCCTTCCTCTCTTTCTCTCTTTCTCTCTCTCTCTTTCTTTCTCTCTTTCTCTCTTTCTTTCTTTCTTTCTTTCTTTCTTTCTTTCTCTCTCTCTCTCTCGCTCTTCTTTTTTTCTGACAATCTATTACGTTTATAGTATACCAACTATTATTTCTTACATATCATCTGTAGATATATGATTGTAGAAAAAGACAAAGGAGAGATATTTATAGTCTGACATTAATATTAACCATTGCTATGACCTCATTGATGTATGTCTCATACATTTAAAATCTATTGATTATATTTTACTTGTGTAGCTGTGATGAAGAGGCTCATCAACCTGATGGCATTTAGACTCAAACTAAGGCCCAAATCCATGGGGAAGTTTTTGAGGCTTTATTGATGTAAGATGACTTTATGGGATGGGGTCCCATACAGAATAAATCATGAGCACTGGCATTCATGTAACAAAAGGCTAATATGGCACTTGCTCTCACACAATATGACTGACCACTCCTTTTCCTGTTGTTATAATGTTGTTGTAGTGAGGATTGTATCCTTAAATTGCTAGTTCAAATGAACTCTTCCTTGTGTTGCTCTTGTTACTACTTGATCAAAGCTTTAAGAATAACACTATGTAAATAATAGCAAATAGCACAGTTCCTTGTATATATATACATAGCTAAATGATGACTTTTGTGATGCAAATTAATATACACATATTCTTCCATAGTTATTTTAATATTTTGTGGGAAGAGTCTCTAAACTCTTTGAAAAGTTTTAGTTTACAATAAATGATTAATAAAGTGGTCTTGCTGGACTATATATCTAGACTTATTTACTCTAACCAAATTTGTATTTTAAAAATTCTCCCCCTAATTTTTGTCCATTTTCCAGTCATTACTCACCTCTGCTCTACTCTGTGCCTTGGTTTATTTAACTTTCACATTTTGAGTCATTTTGTATAGAAGTGAAATAAGTTTCAGTCCTTATCTGGCTTATTTTACTTAGAGCAATGTCTTTCAGATTCATTAATGATATTCTTAGTAATAACATCATGTTTTTCATAAGCAAGGATAATATTATACTCTTTGTAAAATGTATTGTTACTTCTTAAACCATTCATTTATCCACTGATGGGAACTTAGTTTTTTATTGTCCTGATTATTGTGATTAATGCCACAGTGACTGAAGAAGTTAAGATATCTCTTTGCAGATTAAGATTTTGATTCTTTTAGATACATCTCTAGAAACAGACCTTTTTGGATTATATGATATCTCTCTTTTAACTTTTAAGGATTTTCTATGATGTCTGTACTGATTTACACTTCCATCAGCAGTGTATATATATTTTAATATACCTTTACATATACTCATCTTTTGTCTTTTTGATCATGGTTATCCCAATAGATGTCAGATAATAGCTCATTGTGCTTTAAATGTATATTTCACTAAGAATCCATTACTTTAATATTAACATTTGTGTAATGTACAAAAGAATGAATTACATTGTTTTATACATATATATATAGTATACTGTGATGATATTCATCATGATTTTCTCTCCTTTTCAGTAGTTCCTTTTTCCAAATGATTACCTTTTTGCTTTCTTCATTTTTAAAAACTTTTTATTGGTGCTTTGTGAATTTCACATCACATACCTCAATTCCACCCATCTTTCCCTCCTCTTGTACCTGCCCTCTATCCTTGCAACCTTCTCCATGACAGAGAAAAAACTTTTTCATTGTAGAATCTGAGATTATATCATAGTGTATCCTCCAGTATATCCTTGTGTCCACATTTCCTTGCTTATAAATATTTATTGCAATGACTCATTGGTTTGGTACAGGGCCTCTGGCTTCTGCTATTCTATTAGTACTGGGACCTCACTTGGACTCCTCTCAAGCATCCTGTTGTTGCCCTGTGTCATAGAGATCCTGTAGTTTTGCATCTGTAGGACTGGCCCCTTCATGTACTCCAGCAGTTCTTCTATGGGTCCACCCTGCTACCCAGGCGAGGTGCAGGGCCTTCTCTCCTGAGTGTTATAGCTGGAGAAGGGCAGGGACAGCTCTCCTCCTTTCATAACCCCAGGGCCAGGTCTTCTGCCTGCTGCAAGTGGTAAGGGAGAAGGAGGGAGGAGGGTATCTTCCCCTCCTCCATGCCACCACACAGGATAAGAGTGGTAAGGCCAAGTCTTCCTCACTTGTGCCCTTGGGGGCTTGCTCACCTACAACTCCCTCAATGTACAGGGCCCTGTCTTCCACATACTGCATCTGGTTAGGGGCTGGGTCAGTTCTCCTGCTCTCATTCTCCTAGGACCAGCTTTCTGAAGATGCCCAGGTGAAGGGTGGGGCCAACAATGCACTGCTCTCAGACATTAACATAACCCCAGGCAGCAGCCCATACCATGGATGTCCACCTGGACTTCGGTAGTAACACATCTCTGTTGCTGCAGGGCCACAGACTAACTGTGGCCCCCAGTGACAGTACAGGTCAGGAACACACCATGGTCCCAGGTGGCATCACTAGCTACTCACATCAACCTCTTTCTCACTACCCTCAAGTCTCTAGTTCTTTCTCTCTTCATTGTGCCCATACCTTTCTGTTACTCCTTTTCTTCCATTTCTCCTGGGTATCATCCACTTACTTTCTCCTCTTTGTGGTACCCAGGATCTCTGTCTAGGATCATCTCAGAAGTGGTCTCAGGAGTGCTATGCCCCACTTGTGCATTATGGGGAGGGCACAGGTTACATTATGCATGGTCTTCCCACATCTAGGCCTATTTGGTTCTCAACTGGTGGTAATCTCAGGCTAGCTACTTGTACAGGCCCATTGGCACTGGTCGGGTGTTCATCTTGGGCTTGCTCCTTGCTTGGCCTGTTGGATTGGCCTTATTTGAGGATCATCAGTCACGGGCTCACTTGCAGCTAGAGTCTTTAGTCACAGGCATGTATTCTCCTAGACTCCAGCTCACTCCTGCTTCTTGTGGTCTGAGCCCGCTGGTGCCACTTTTTTTAGGGAATGTTAGGCTACTAATCATTCAGATGTTCATAGATCAGATATTGAGCATTGACATTGCCTTTCTTCTCTCTGCCACCTATGGTTACAAAAGTGACACAGTAGCCACACCTGTAATGTTTCTAGAGGCAGCTGATTTCCTCATTTTTAATTTTTAATTTTTTAAAATTTAAAATGTATTTTAATTACATTTTCCCCTCTCTTAATTTCTCCCAGATTCTCTCTAACTCTTTACCTATGTAATTTCACATTCTCTCTGTCTCTCTCTCTCTCTCTCTCTCTCTCTCTCTTTCTCTCTGTATCTCTCTCTCTCTGTCTTTCTCCCTCCCTCCCCCCTCTCAAAAAATACAATACATAAACCAACCAAACAAAAAAGGTTAAAAAAAAGGAAAAAAACCAATAAGATAAAAATTACTAAAACAAAGTAAAACAAAATGCACTCACAGAAATCCCTCTAGTTTATGTTGCCCAACCCTGCCTAGGCATGGAATCTGCTCTAAAGGTTGGCTGAGTGACATCCTAGTGACATCCAATTGATAAAACTTATTTTTCCTTTTCTAGTCCAAATCAGTTGCAATTTTTTTTTTTTTTTTTTTTTTTTTGGTTTGAGGTGGAAATTGTGTGCAATTCTCCTTTTCCATTCTGGAGTCAATGCAACCAAGTAAAAACTCCAGTGTCAGGAATTGGTGATATCTTACTGAATCATTAGCCAAAGGGGTCCAGTAGACAATCCCCATTTAAATATCATAGTCCATTGTCAACGATATTGGTTGTCCTTCACAAACTGATTGTAAGGTCCTGTTGCTGAAGACATAACTTATTTATATCACTAAAAATGGAGAAATAGAGCTAATTCTCAGCTATAACTGTCCTCCTTACTGGCTAGTTAGTGGTCATGGTGATACCACTATGGGAGGAAAAAACGTAATCATCAGAATCACTCAGCTACAAAAGCTGTGACCTATAAAAGTAAACAGCCTATAAGATATCCTGGCATATTAGTGGGACAAACATTACTGGAGTAACCAACCACTTTTTAAAAGTGGATTTAGGGCCAACTCCCTGAGATGGAACTCATACCTGACACTGATAAATTAACCAAGAATCTGAGACTAGATAGGTCATGAGACCTAGGGGAAAAGCTATTACTATTATTCTACAAATGGTGACTCCTTATAAATGATTGCTATAGCTATAGATAAGTACATCACTCAGCCCTCATTGGTTCTTCTTGCAGTAGATGCTAATTGACAAAGAGACCCACAATTGTACAATGTGTAGAGAATGACAGACTTTGGAGCACTCATCCCTAAATGGAATGTCTTTATCAAACTAGGGCTCAAAGATCTATCCAGAAAATAATGAAGAAAAACTAGAGATCCAGAAGTGACGAATGACTCTAAAAAAATAAAGTTTTCCAGACACAACAAGGCAGATACACACAGAAATTCAAAGACTGTGCTAGCATGCACCAGTTTAAACCAGACAGATTTTGTTTTCTTAATGAACAATGATATGAAACATTTTTTTCATATACCTCTTAGTCAGTTGTATTATCTTCTTTGGAGAAGTTTTAAAGGTATTTTTGTCCATTTTAAAAAGTGGATTGGTATTGAATTATTTGGGTATTTAGTTTTGCTCACAAATGATGGCTTCTTTCCTGTATTTGACCCTGATTTGTATGCATAAAAGCATATTATGCTTCTTCTTCCTGAATGGATGAATCTGTTCATGAACTCACCATTAACCTATTTCTTGCTTTGAGCAAAATCCATTCTGTGATCTAATGTATTTGAATTTGTGCTTGGTAGGCCATCAGTTTACTCACCCACTTAATAATTATGTCAGGAACCAATTGTCTAGACTGATAAAATTTATTGAGCACAGTAACCTAATATGTGGACAGATGAATATATAAATAGTTTTTAGTGAACCTATTTTCTTATATAAATAATATTACAAAGGGCTCAAAGGAACCAAAAAGGAATGTAATGAGTTACTCAAGTAGCACCATATATTAAGTATATATTAAGTAAATATTAAGTACTCTTGAGTCAGATAGTGGTAATGAGGGAAGTAGACAAGAAATGAGACATACTACTAAACTTCAGTCTTATTTTAATTTGTTATATAATTGCTGGATGTATTAACAAATAAATAAAATATTTGCCACATTCAAGTTCAAAGCTCCCTCATGCTTAAATGAATTTTGGCCAAAATAGGGATGAGCTTCTTATTGTCAAACACATGTGGACCACACAAAACAACATATGGAGTATTCTGAAGATATTAACTTTGTCATAGTTCAATTTCCATAATTACTTTTGCTATGTTACTTTATGCCTACCGGTCTGAAATCCGTAACTCAGGAATATTAGATAATTTCTCAAGGATGAACTGCAGGAATTCAGCAGTACTGTCAGAATTAGGTGCAGAAATTTCTGGTTAGAGTCTTGGTCAATGTCTTATAGTTTTGTCCTGTCAGCTAATGGCACTTGGCTACCCACCCTTCTGTAGGTCTGAAAAGTTCTTGCCTTGAGGAAATGTGAAAAAAAAAAAAATATATATATATATATATATATATATATATATATATATATCTCAGCTGGTTAGATTCTTGGGCAAGTATGGCATGGCATGGTAGGGACAGAATGACATGATTCCGGCCCCTGGGACAGGGCCATCAGGTATGGGCATCTACATGTGGCATCAATGGCTGCTGTGGGTGTAAGGCTTGTTTGTATAATAATGTACATATTTTCATGTTCCTCCAGGAATGTCTTCCCTGTTAATGACTCATGATAACCAGAAACATCATGACTTTAGGAGGCAAACGTGTGGCTAATGTCTCAGCAGAATGGTAAATGCTGGGGACCTTCAGGAAAGCCCTTAAGGCTGTGGAAAAGAACTCTAAAAATACGAGCTCAAAATATAATTTTTCAACTATGCAAAAATATAAGGATGCAATATGAATTGTATAAGGGGCTTCACAGATCTAAAGGAACAGAGGCAGCTACACTATGAGCCAACTTGTCAGAAAGACACTAAGCAAGGAGATAAAGAGATTTAGGGAGTTGTGGTCTCAGGGCAAAATTTCACTCAGCTAAGTTTGTTGTTGTCGTTTTATGATTACAAATACAGGCAGATTCCTGAGATTAGGGTCAGCCTGGGACAGAGCTAATTTATGACCAGGTGTGGTTGGAATGGTAATCTCAGGACAAGGTCCCACCCAGCTAAATTTATAAAGGCAGGCAGGTCTCAGAGGTAAAGGGGAAGGGAGATGGGGAAGAACTCTGTGAGGGGGGACCATGAAGGGGGCAACATTTGGAATGGAAATAAAATAGTTAATTGAAAAAGAGAAAAGGAAAAAAAATGTACTTGCCATACTTTCTCTAAGGGTCAAGGGACTAAGGTCATGGAATGCTGAGTCATGGGATGGTCAAGGGGGAACCTGGAATAAATAACTGAATTGATATGAAAATTTAAAAACTGGGCTTTTGGTCTGCATGTGATGAGGTATCAAAAAGTGATAGCAGTTCTGCTTTAGAATTTGTCTCTGGCTAGAGCTAAGCTATCTGGAGATTTATGGAGATTTTTTTTCTAACAGGATCTTTGATTTTAGTCAGAAAATTTATAAAGAACAAACACAGCTGTTTTAGTTTTTTTTATAGCTCTTTTAGAATTTTTTATAACAAGAGTTCTGACACTGAGAAGTCCCACAAATCACTTAGGAAGCTGACCCAACTCTTTCAGAATGTTTTTCAGTAGCTATCCAGAGAAGGTTGTCTGAAGAGTGAACAGGACTCTTAGAAATTTTTCTAGCTTTCCGAGTTTGATTGGAAAACTCAAGAATTACTTTTAGAATTTTTCTAATAGGACTTCTGACTTGATCAGAAGATACAAGAATTTCTTATAGTAGCTTTTCTGACTTTTGTCAGAAAACCCATGAGAGCTTTTAGAATTTTTACTAGCAGAGAGAGCTGTAGCAAGCAGAAAGCTAGCTGTCTCAACTAGAGAGTTTTTAGAATACCAAAACAAAAAGATTTCTAGAAAGGGACACACACACACACAGAGAGAAACAGACACACACACACAGACACACACAGACACACACACACACAGACACACACACACACACACACACACACAGAGAGAGAGAGAGAGAGAGAGAGAGAGAGAGAGAGAGAGAGAGAGAGAGAGAGAATGCAGTTATGAAAGACATCTTAACAGAACATAGGCTGCCAGCTTGGATCTGTGATTTGACTTGAAGTCCCTTGATTTTGCCACTTCCAGACACTCCTTCTCTCAGAACCCAAATCAAGCTGAGGCTGTGGCTGGTTTTACGTTTACCCAGCTTTCTGCATCTGATAATTTCACTCTAGTTAGTTTTAAAGCCAGGTATTTTCCTAGAGTATACCTATTGCATTTTGATCATGTCTTTACATTCTATCCCCTGAAATACATACTAATGAATGAGATGTTCTATGGAACAAATAGGACTATCTGAATTCATGGGTATGGAGAAGTGTATATCATCATGCAACCTCTGTCTCTCCTGGCCTCTGAGTATGATTCATGCTTCTTGCTAGCAATGTCACACAGTATTAACCCTAGTACCTTACTTTTCACCAGATTCTCTATGAACTGTCATCTATTCAACTTAGAGACCAGATCTGTATGAAAATTGGTGTCCCTATTTCATAATGGCATAGATATTCTATCCTTTTGCCCTTCCTTCACTCTTCCCTCAGAGCTTTAGGTCATCTGATGTCAGTGCTGAAAGAAAGACTTTTAAATTTCTCTAATCATACGACCACTAGGGCAGGAGATGGGTGTTAGTTATAGCAATAGGATTTTTGAAAAGTGCCTTTTTCTTCTCTGAGTATCATCGTCCCATCTGTGAAATGAGGGTGGTACTGATGCTGTTATCTTGGGTTGATAACCAGGAGTAGGAATAAAGGCTGTGGTACTCCTAAAGCCTGGGATTTGCTTTAAAGGGAGGCAGTGTTGTTGGCATGGTAATGGACATTGCTTTTCCTTGGTTGATGTTCTGCTATGTGGTGGGGGTTGTAATCCTTTTGTTCATTCACTATGCTGTCTGCTTCCTTCTTCCAAACTTCCAAACCTTCTAAA